AGGGAGGGAGGAAGGAAGGAAGGAAGGAAGGAAGGAAGGAAGGAAGGAAGGAAGGAAGGAAGCTCAACAGGTAAAGCCACCTTGATGGGAAGGAGGCAAAGATAGAAAGAGAGAACGTAAGGTTTCAAAGAGAGGATCGTTCAGGTAGCTCTGCCCTGGGTTCGGGTTTTTGAAGGAGGGCCTCCCTTCCATTGGGAACTAAGCCCCCCCCCCAAGCACAGAGCTGCCACAGGAGAGTGTGTGTACCACAAGGACTTTTAAATTCTCCTCTGCCTGAAGAGCAAGGAGGTCAAACACTGGGCGAGAGTGGCTCTCTCTTTGCGGTGAGGTGGTGTCTAGCATTCCATCTTTACCAGTCTGTCAAAAGACATTGCGAAAGACTAGCCTCAGGAACCATGGATGCACCACAAGGCAAGTCCTCTGGCACCGGGTCTGTGGGGACTTGATCGGAGGTCCTGGAGCGTCGCAACCCCAACGTCGTCAGCGCCTTTGGATAACAAATGGAGAGGCTCTTCGCAACGGGACAATCTCAGGCCAGTTTTTCTGGTCATTCTTCTGGACTCCCGTCTGATCGCTCAGATTGGGCAGGGGAGTGAACCACGTCGGTATCTGGTGACCCATCCTCAGGGCAAAGGCAAGGGAATTAAAAACCAGAAGGCGCTTGTGGAAAAACCCTATGGAGATCAGCAAGACACACACACACAGAGAGAGAGAGAGAGAGAGAGAGGTTATTCTTAGAATTGGCAAATCTTCAACCATCAAAGCTGACTTGATTGTCACCAGGCAGGCTCTTCTGATCTCCAGTAGCTTGCTGCTTCTATACTTTGAAACAGCGGTTCTGTGGGCTCATTTGGCTCTCCGTGAGAAGGATCTTGGAATGGTTGTAATTCACAAGCTGAATAGGAGACAACAGGGTGATGTGGCTGCAGAAAAGGCAAATGTTACTTTAAGCTGCATTACAAGAAGTATAGTTTCCAAATCCCGTGAGGTGCTGGCCCCCCTCTATTCGGCACTGGTTGAGCCTCACCTTGAGTCCTGGGTCCAGTTCCGGACACCACACTTTAAGAAGGATGCTAACAAATTGGAACAAGTTCGGAGGAGGGCGACAAGGAGGATCAGGGGACTGGAAACCAAGCCCTAGGAGGAAAAACTATAGCCATAGCCATGAGTCCTGTGTGGGAGAGGATTCCTTCTCGGCCCGGAAGGCACCTTCTTAGTGAGTACAAAATGTTCCATTCAGAACGAGGATGTTCAAAGGTTGACATTTCCTGCCTTTTCCCCTTGCATGCATGTATGGGGGTGGGTAGGGAGGGTGGGTTTTGTTCGCTGAGGAAGTGGGACGTGGCCCACTCTTGTTCCGGGCAGCCCCTGTTCCAGCCTCTTGCCAGGCCCCTTGATTGGCCCCATCCAAGTAATGAAGGGTTTCAGATGCAGAGACCTGAGCGGAGAGAGGGTGGGTGGGGTGAAGAGACAACCCCCCTCCAAAGCCTCCACCATCGTCTTTGCCACCCCAACCTTGGGGGCTCCTTCTTGGCTGCACAGGGTGGATTGGCCTGTGCCCAGACGACCTGGCAATCTACTGCCACATTGGTGTATCTTTTGGAAATTGCCCATGTTCTCAAAGAACAACGAAAGAGGAGACCACCCTTGGACCCTGGCCTGAGGGCAACACACCCCTTCTGAAAAGGGACCAGTGGACGTTGTGGATCAGGTCTGCCCTGCCAGGGCATTCCCTCCCTGTCCACAGGAAAGGAGGGATAGTCTTCTAAGCAACTTGCTCAGAGGAGAGCTGGCACCCTCCTCGAGGCGCTTTTGGGTAATATAATGGGGCTCCGGTCTCACGGTCCTGGTAGGAAGAAGGTGGCTTTTGATGGCAGTGTGTGAGAGGAAGAGGAAGAGAGTGCCAGCCAGCATCGGTGAGGACAGAGGGGTGGTGAAGGTGTCTGGGGCCATTTTGAAGCAGGAGGACACGGCCGATCCCCAAAGAGAAACAGAAGTCCGGCAGTTGCAGATGAGAAACGAACACCCTCAGACTGGGGACTTCCAGAAGGGCTTTCCAAAGGGCAGGCGCCTGAGGCCACCGAGGCTTCCACACACCCACAGCATCCCGTTTCTGAGCCTGGATGCCCAGATCGGCCAGGAAAGCCGTTGCACAATTAAACTGTAGCGCGCCAGCTGCCTCCGTTCCTGGGAGAGGTCCCGTTTGGCCACCATGACGCAGGCCCTCCTGACATCCCAACCCGACTGACTGTAATGCCGTCCATGTGGGGCTGCCCTATGGAAAGTGTCTTCAGGCAAGCTTTCCTGGAGTGGCTGGCTCCCTGCCTGGGTGGGTTTTCCTTTTTAATAAATGGTTGTGCTTTCATGCCCTGAATATGTTCTTGGTGTTGCTTTTGTTGACTGTCTTTTGATGTGGGCTGTCCGTCACCGTCACTGCCCAGGTCTGCCAGTCCCCCCAGGAGCTAAGCTGTGCGCTGGAGTGACCCCGTGCGCAGTCCCTGAAAAGGGCACCGGCCGACGTAGCCCTTGGGCAGGCTATGGGCTGAGCGAAGCGCCTTGGGGGGAGAGGGGCAGAGGGCCCTTGGATGCTGTCCCACAGGAGGCAGCCTCTCCAAGTGCATGCAAACCGGGCTGAACTGTCGGACCCTGTGCCCCGTGACCATCACTCCACGGCCTTCGGCCACTTTTTCTGCAGCTGAAGAAGAGTTTTCTCCCCTTTTCCTTCTTCAGGGTCAGCCTTAAGTCCCACTGGATCCCAGTGAAGGGCAGCATGGGCAGCGGGGGAGAGAAAGAACGAAGCAAGCCAGCTTTGTTCCATGTTGAACAGGCAGAACCTTTAAAGGCATCAAAATCTAGGAAGAAATTTGAAAAGGAAAACAAAAACCAAAAAAAAACCTCTGACACAGGGCGGGGAGGGAGATGGGGAGAACAAAGCAACGACCCTGTCCACACACCGGCATATAGTTAGGGGGCATGGATGACTGATGGCATTGCCAGGGTTGGGGGGCCCTCGTCTGCTTGTGTTTCGACTTAGAATGCCCCATCCTTGGGGTAACATGCTTTCCTGACGCAGGGCTAGGACATGCATTTTGGGGGCAGGATTCCGTGGGAGCCTCGGCTGCACAGCGGTGAGCCATCCTTGTTGCAGGGGCCAAGCTCCCACCTCCACTGATCAGCTGTGGCGTGGAGAGCTGTTGGGAGCAAAGAGGAGCAGCGGCAGAGGGGGCCCTGAGCCTCTCCGACACGGCCCGCAGCCCTCGTCCGTTGGCTGGGAAGCAGAAGCCGGCTGCATTATCAGTGCAAAGTGTTTAATCAACAGCCGATGGGCATTGGAGGACCCATCGCTTCACACACACACACACACCTCCACAGACCCTTGTAGCTCTCCCTCGCAGTGTGAGCTTTGGCACAACAGCCTTTTTAATGGGCCCAGCCCCCCCCCCCCCCAGAAAACGTGCACAGACTCCTGCCATGAGAGACACCATCCAAGTCTCCAACCCTGCCTTCGAAATGGACTAAATCCACAGTCGATCTTGCCTGCCTCCTGCACAGGGTTTTCTCTTGCCTCCGACAGGGAATAAACCAGGGCTGTTTTTTTCTGAAGTCCTTGTGATGAGATCTCTGTGCCCTGGACGGGACGGAACTGTCTTTCTTTCTTTCTTTCTTTCTTTCTTTCTTTCTTTCTTTCTTTCTTTCTTTCTTTCTTTCTTTCCTTTTTCCTTATTTATTTATTTATTTATTTATTTATTTATTTATTTATTTATTTATTTATTTATTTATTCAATTTATATGCCGCCCAAACTACCCAGAGGTCTCTGGGCGGCTTACAATAATTAAAATTCAATACAGCAAAAGATAAAATAATTAAAATACAATTAAAATTGCCATCAGACCCACAGCTAATCCACCCCACCCCATCTGCAAAGGTCATGAGAGAAACCTATTTCGTTTTCGTTGTGCAAAAACACCAGGGTTGCGCTGGCTGCCACCGCCCGCCCTCTCTAGGGGGTGTTTCTGCCCTGCAGAGGCCCTGGCCCTTCACCTTCTTCTTCCCACACCCTGTGGAAATGTCCTTGCAGAGTTGGCCACAGAGCAGAGAGAGGAACTGGGTCCCCTTCGGGTGGGGGCTCAGCTCGGCCCACCCGGTTCTGAAAGCCATCCGTTCAACAGGGTCTCCTGCGGCACACCATTTCCCATGAGAATCATGGCCCATCTCTTTGAAATAGGCGTTCGGCGTGTGCAGACGAGGGGCCAAGTCCTCGGTGCTTCCCACTGGGCGCCTACTTCTCTTCCCGGTCATCGAAGGCAGGGTTGATGTAGGCCTCGCTTGTCCCCTCGGTGGCCCAATCCCTTCGGTTCACGGGAGGCCACGAGGTGTCCGCTTCCAACTGCCGCTACAGCTTCCGGTACTGGCTGGACGAACGGAACCGGAAGAGAGCCTTGATCCAGAGCCAGAGGCCGTAGTTCTGCAGGAGGGCGTCCTGGGGAGAAAGAAAGAAACAAGGTTGTGGTTTGGTTCGAACAGAGGGCTGCTCAACTGCCAGGGGTCCCTCCGTGGGCCTCTCAGCTGACGACAGACGGACGTGGCTCAGGCAGGAAGGGCACCCCTGCTTTCAGGCCCTCAACCTTCTTTGCTCATCCTCTTCCTCTTCCTTCTGCTCTCATCAAGACTTTATCTCTTCCTGATGCTTGAACAAAATCCTGTTGTCCCCCTGTTGTCAGGGGACAACAGGATTTAGGCTCTCGAGGACAGGGGAGTCCTCCCACCCCAAAAAGAAGCACTTGGTCGCTCTCAGAGTTGGCAGGGGAAACCGCCGCTGTGCCCCTTCGGCCTTGGCTCTTGGTGGCGTCCCGTTCCATTCACCCCCAGATACTGGGAGACGGGAGCTGCAAAGCAGGCACAGAGCAAAGCCTGCCTCTGCCTTGTCCATCAGCCCACCCTTCACGGGACAGCACAGGGACGGGACAGGGGAGCCCCTATGCCCCCCCCCCAGAGCACACCTGGCACGTGCAGCAGAGTCTCTGAAGGGAAGGAACGTCTGTATCACCCCCAGGGACAGGACACAACATCCATTTTACAAAAAGGGGAGGCCTGGAAAGAGCAGGTTCTTGACCTGCAATGGTGGTCCTCTTCAAAGGGTCATCTGTGACCTCACGGGCAGAATACGGGCCTCGTCCTTGGGAAAAGGCACGTCTGAACCGTTCTGCCACTGGGTAGCTTCGGGCAGGAGCTCTGCCTCATTACCTCTACCCCACAGGTCCATCTGGACCTCAGCTAAATTCCCTCCATTCTGAGCTGTCTGGGAGGAGGGAGAGAGAGAGGAGGCTGTAGAGGTCATTCTCTGGTCATCATGCTTAGTGGTTAGAAAGCAAGTCCAGGATGAAGCATAATGAAAAGCTCTTGAGTCCACTGGGTAGCTTCGGGCAGGAGCTCTGCCTCATTACCTCTACCCCACAGGTCCATCTGGACCTCAGCTAAATTCCCTCCATTCTGAGCTGTCTGGGAGGAGGGAGAGAGAGAGGAGGCTGTAGAGGTCATTCTCTGGTCATCATGCTTAGTGGTTAGAAAGCAAGTCCAGGATGAAGCATAATGAAAAGCTCTTGAGTGATCCTGAAACCAGAGGCCCTTCCCGAATGATCTGGGGGAACGCCAGCCTTAATGCCAAGGGAACCCACAGTCCCAATGCATAACATCAGTGCTGTATGTAACAGTTAGAAAGGAAGTCCAGGATGAAGCGTAGGGAAAAGCTCTTGAGCGATCCTGAAACCAGAGGCCCTTCCCGAATGATCTGGGGGAACGCCAGCCTTAATGCCAAGGGAACCCACAGTCCCAATGCAAGGACACCCTAGAATAGCTTATGGCAGAATATTTCTCCACACCAGCCCCCAGGCATGGCTTTCAAAGCATCCAGAGGGATCTGACCCAGCAGAGTCATCTTGCCTAGACTGCAGCTTATAATGCTGCTGGACCACATCCTCAGGGTTGGGGTCTTATCCCACGGTTCTCCTGCAGAGGAGGGCCCCCTGCAGATCTGGCTGCAATGGGAGTCGACGGTGCAAACCGTGGTGGGAGTCCAGCATGGATGCTGCCAGTCCACTCACCACTGAAGTCCACTGAGGGCACCGCTGTGGCCGAACGGCCTCTGGCACAGGAGCCAAAGCAAGAGGAGCGAAGACGCCTTGGCCAGATGTTATTCTCTTGGGGTTCTTTTTAGCCTTTATCCCCTTAGGTACAGAAGGCGTAGGGCACCCTGATGCCTATTTCTCCCAACCTTCACCTGGATACTCCTCGACACCAAAGGGGGGAGGCCACCGGGTCTATGAGCCTCGCAGAGTGGTCACTGCCGGCACACGCCCTCCTGTGGCATGCCAGCGTGGCCAAAGCTGAAATCTTTGATCTTGACGCTTTTGAGGTCAAGGAAAGATATGTTGTGCCCACTGAAGCTGATGTGGAAGAAGGCCTTGGCCTGGACTCAAGAGTCGTCAAAAAGGGAACCGTCTTGCCGTTAGCAGTGGGCGGCAGGCCTGGGGGCCAGCTGGTCGGCCACCATGAGGGAATCTTCTCACAGAAGGCCGAGCTGAGGTGGACAGTTTCTAACCCTGGTTTAGTACATCCATGGCAACCTGAAGCCCAGTCAAGAGCCATGGAGCTTGCCAAGAGAGGACTGGCATTCACATGGACCATCTGAAGGGTGTGGGATTTTATCCCACAGCTGGTGCAAAGAAACATACTGAGGGATTTACGCCGAGGCATGCTTCGCCAGGCACCACGGAGGGGTGGGGGTGGGGTGTTCCCCTCTTAAAGCAGCTTTGCTCTAGAATGTTTGCTCTAGACATGGCTGTGTGAAGACACCATGTAAGACTTGTCCGTGTGAGTTGCAGAGACTGTGGAGAAGAAAAGGGGGCTCCTCTCCTTCCGCTTGCAAGCCATTTCCTCGGATGACAGGGCTTGCACCTTATGCTCCATCCAGAAGGACATAAAGACGGACATCCAGAAGAAGGCACTGAACATAGCCAGAGGGCAGGGTTGTTATTCCCGTTGTGTTTGGTGAGCCTCAAGACCAGTCAGAGTTGCTGGGCAGGAGGCGGCTGAGCTGGGCAGACCTTCTTCTGAGGGGGTCTTAATCAGCCACCCGCTCCCTCCCTCAGCTCGCACTCTCCAAAGCCCTGAACAGGGCAGGTGCCCCTCTGTCCGAGGGGGAACCAGGAGCCCCTTTCAACAGAAGCAAGACATGCCCCCCTACTCACCTCCACAAAGAAGGAGACCAAAAACTTGACCACCAGCGTGATCAGGACGTAAACCCTCCAGGTGACTGGGGTGCAGAGAAGCTGTGAGGAAAGAGAAGGGACCCGGGCAGTTAGACCCTTCCTCCTCCCTCAGCTCAGCTCCACCGACCTGGCACGGCAGGTCTTCTGCTGCCTCCGTCCCGTCCCATCCCGCCCCCCCGTCCCCCTGTCCCAGCTCAGCCTAAGCAAGGACCCTTCACAGGCCAGCCGGCTAAGGTTGTGCGCTTTGTTCCCAGCAGAAAGCATGCTTTTCCATCTCACGCTGGTGGCCCAAATCCCAAAAACAGCAGGATCTTCTGGACACTCAAATCTATGATTCTACAAAAGATCCTTCCTGTGCGTGTCTTGCCACACTCACCATCATCCCCCTGTACACAGAATCGATGTCCGCAAAGAGGAGAAAGAGGCAAACCCCGAGCTGGAGGCACAGCAGGATGGAGAAAAGATCTGGAGAATCGGAAGAAGGGGCCCCAGTTAATCCCCGGGGTGAGAGTGGAGAGGACCTCTCATCTTGCAGAGGGAGGGTGCCTGGGATGGAGAAAAGATCTGGAGAATCGGAAGAAGGGGCCCCAGTTAATCCCCGGGGTGAGAGTGGAGAGGACCTCTCATCTTGCAGAGGGAGGGTGCCTGGCCAGTGGAGGTGAGGAGGAGGAGGAGGAAGAGAGGGGCGGTTCTCTGCCCCAGGAAGGCCTCCAAAAGGGAAGGTGGGAATCCTGCCGGCCAGGCTCTTTTGGGGGCTGATTTAGTAATGGATGCAAAACTCCATAAGAAAGCCCTAACCTAATACCACGACAAGAAGCGCTGCCTTCTCTTCTGGCCGCCTTCTTCCGTCTGTGGGCGCAGCAGCCAGGGGTGCCTCGCCTCCAACCTGGTGGTCCAGGCGAGGATGGCATAACTGGGCGGGACCGTGAGGAGGGGCTCGTGCCAAGTAAGACCCGTGCACGGAAAGGGCCGACGAGGATAGGCTCTCCCGGGGTCACTCACAGTTGGAGTAGATGGGCTTCCGGAAGGGCTTCCCCTTGGAGAAGACAAAGGCCACGATGAGGCAGTCGATGGTGACAAGAGGCCACAGGGTGGTGTCCTCGTAGCTCAACACACTGTGGTCTTCCGCCGTGGCGTTGGCAGTCCCGTTGCCTGGGAAGAGGGGCCGGTTCCCGGAGGGGCATCCCCTGAAAGGAAGAGATCAGACATGTGCTTGCTTGTCTCTTCCATTCTTTCAGGACTCCTCTGTCAGGCATCTCTTTGGTGCGAGGGAAGCAGACACCCAGAATCCATGCAGCGTGGGGCCACCCTCCTTCCTCGTACTGCGGTGCAGGCTCATCTCCCCACTTTAGCTCCGAGGACCTGGTGGGAAAAGCCTCCAGGAGCTTTCCTGAGCCTCCAGCTGGGAAGTCTCTTCTCTGGCCTGGTTTGGTATCCATGGCCTCCTGGCAGAGTCCTTTTCTAACTCACCTAACCCTCTCAAAGAGCCACACGGGGTAGGAGGTCACCTTGACCGAGAAGGCAAAGTTAAATCCCCCTTAAGCCAAGTCCAGAATGCCTCGGAACCACGTCCCCCTGAACCAGAGCAGGGGGGTTCAGAGAACCTGACCTCTCCTGGATTTATCCTCTGAAGAAGTTTCCTTAGCAGAGCGGCTAGACTTGGGGTCTCGGGGAAAAGCTTTTTTCTATCTATCCCTAGAGGTCCAACATAGTTCGTGATGTCCCGAGACTTGGAAGAGAGGACGGAGGAATGCAGGAAGGCCCATACTTGTTTGCTTATTTGTTGTTTTGACTTACAGTGGTGCCTCGCATTACGTTAATTCGTTCCAGCGAAATCGCTGTAGAACGAAAACATCGTAATGCGAAAATAAAAAACCCATTGAAATGCATTAAAACCCGTTTAATGCGTTCCAATGGGCTGGAAACTCAACGTCCAGCAAAGATCCTCCACAGGGTAGCCATTTTCACTGCATGTTCAGCAAGGAATCCGTCCCAGAAAACAGTGTGGAACTATTTTGCTTACCCGGCAGCCGTTTTGAAACCGCTGATCAGCTGCTTTAAAATCGTCATTTTGCGAAGAATAGGTTCCTGAAGCAGGGAACCGCTCATCGCAAAGCGAAAAAAACCCACTCAGACCATCGTTTTGTGATTGCAAAAAAGATCATCGTAATGCGGTTTTGTCGTAAAGTGAGGCAATCGTAAAGCAAGGCACAACTTGTACATCCTTTCCCATAGTGCTTAAAGCACGCTTGGGGTGGGCGGGTTGCAACTTAATAATGCAAATGAAACTCTCCCCCCCCGCAAGCTGAGTACTCATTTCACCGACCTTAAAGTGACGGAAGGCTGAGTCAACCTTGAGCTGGGGCTACCTGAGCCCATCAGGATTGAACTCAGGTCGTGAGCAGAGTCTTCACTACAGTACTGCAATTGAACCCCCATGCCACGGAGCTTGCTACTTGCTGGGTTCTTGCTTATCCTGGGACCTGAGTCAAGTCGTCCCGCCTACCAGAGCAAGTGGGACAACCCAAGGAAAGGAGGCCTTCTTCCTTTCCTTGGGTTGAAGGCTGGGCGATGGCAGTCTGTGCTCTCTACATCCCTGGTGAGGTGACATGACTTCCTCGGTGTTGTCCCGGTCTTGCCCTACATGCATGGCCTCAGGTACCTTGACCACATCGGCTGCAACCCGTCCCGGTGTCAAGGGCCACCCTCTGTGGCGTAGAATGTGGCTTCTCAGGGGGTGGGAGGAACAGTGTTGGCCCTGAGACAGGAAGCTCTCCTTGCAGCTAAAGGCATCAGCCCCGTAAGCAAGGCGTCTGTCATCCTGCACGCAGTCCTCCTAAAATGAGTGGCCCTCCTCCTCATGCCCTCCAGGAGAGGGGGGGAACCCTCGGGGTTGGGGTCTCACCTGTGGCTCCGCAGCTCCGAGTACCAGGGCTGCTGCTTCACGAAGAGGAAGCCAGAGACCTGCACGGCGAGGGCAAAGCCGACGTTGAGGACGACGGAGAGCAGCAGGGAAGGAGAGAGGAGGCGTCCAGGGGGGCGGTAAGGAGCGAGCGTGGGGTAAGCCTGGGTCAGGCTCACTGTTGGGAAGGGAGAGGAGGGCGGTTTTAGGAAAGCTGCCAGCTGCAAGAGAGGAGTCCCCCTTCACGTTCCTCCACCCCACATGCCATTCGGATGGGTCCTGCAGATCGGTCACCTGCCCCAGGGGGCTCTCGTGCACCCCAGAGAACGGCTGAGGGGAAGGGCGGAGGCACGTCCTTCCCCCACAAGGCAAGGAAAGCAGGGCTCCCAGAAGGGCTGCGGAAACTTTGGAGGGGTGTACGTGGGCTGCACGTTTAGACCACGTGCCACGAGAGAGGTCAGGAAGAGAAGCTCTTGGTGGCAGCCCCCCAGGAGTGGGAAAAACCAACATTAGAGACTAACACCCTCCCCCCCCAAAAAAAAAACCACACCAGAATCTACACTTTATCAGGCAAGAAAATATGAATAGTTGCTAAGGGCGAATTTTGATTTAATTCGGTCCTTTTTGCAAGTGCGATTTCTGCCTCCCTGGCCTTACGAATTCCTGCTGGAAGCCCTTGGCTCACTCAGAAGACCTCAGGGAGCCAAGCAGATCATGGTCTGACAGAGATCTACTTACTTGTCAGGCAGACGACCAGGGTGATGCAAACGTCCTGCATAAGGTACTGGTAATTCCCAAAGATCTGTGTTTGCTAAAAGGAGAAA